GCATGTAGATTAATTCCCCAAAGTTTCAGCCCTGTAGCTTTTGTAGGTCTCGAGATGAAAAATCGGCGTAGACGAACACACAAACACACAGATAACGTCTTGTCAATATACGTTTTTGCATTGCATAGATGCAAAAAATGCATAAAAAGCACTTCTAGCAGAAGCACTTGATTTCGAAATGTCATTAATATGTGTTGAGTATTCGGTACAAAAAGTAGTGCATTAAATAGCAATAATAAAACAATGGAAGAGAGAGCAAAAATAGATGGAAAGATTATGTTGCCACTGCAATCCACTGGACACCATGGACACGCACTGTGCTCGTAACGGACAGCTCCCTGGGCATTACACGAACAACGCTGGGTGTTTACCTGTATCAGTTGCAGTTACACGAGCATTGTTGACATGTTACTTGTAATCTGATTTTTTCGTGCTGCTAAAGCAGAAACAAGAATCTTCCGGCTTTTCCCGGTGCATAGATTGCGGGTAGATTAATCCGGTGAAGACTGACAGTTATGAGGTTCTCTGGACCCTTGTATTTTTTGGAGGTGCTTTTTTCAAAAGCACAATGAAATCAGATTGAGTGCATGAATCAACTATATAGGATGCGATACACCATATTTGTCGGTGCTGCACACGTTTTTGCGCCAATCTTGAGGCAGTCAGGTCTTAAACAGTCTCAGTGCAACTAAACGTAGACAGGGAATAACTCATTAAAATTTCAGCTTCCTAGCTTTTCTGGTTTCCAAATTAAAAATTTTCGCGTCGAAATTTCCTGGTAGCCGTATGTGAGTCCTGGGAGCAGGTGAGGGCTGAATTTGACTTTACGGAGGTAATATGCGAGCGAAGAACATTCTCCTAAAATTTCAGCTTCTAGGCTTTTGTACTTTCCGAGTTATTAATTTAAGCGCCAAAACATTTACGTGGCCGCACGGAAGACCTGGGTGCGCGGACGCTGAGTTTAGGTTTGCGGAACCACACAAGCTTCCTAGCTTCTTAGGTTCTCAATTGAAACTCCCGGAATAAAATGTATTCGACACACACACACACACACACACACACACACACACGCAAGCATACAAAGGCAGGGTATCGAAAATATGCGTTTTGTGAAACTGTTGCAACACAAACCGCATAGTTCCATTTTCTTTCGGGTGTCCGAGATCTAGATGCGCATGAGCAGTGATTTTAAAGCAAGGAGGTGGTATAAGGGCTGGGAATATGCTCCAAAATTCCAACCTCGCAGTTTTTTTTGCTACTGAGTTGAAGGTGGGTGACAAAGTCCACTTGCCTCCGAACATACACACACACACACACACACACACACACACACATACAGATGATTATCCTAAGAAGCAAGGCTAGTAAATCGTTTTGAATGTTTTGTGATGTTTAGAACTTGGATTATCTCCAGCTTGTTCCTCTGGTAAATCCTAGGAAAAATTCGATGTCAACAGATCAAGGACTTGATGGCTGAAATGATGTGAAAACATCGTTTCCTTCTTCAAATATGTGCAGTTCTCGTCCGTTTCTTTCTCAAATTTCCGAAAAAATATGTGGAATTCCTGCCGAAGGGATATGAATTTCTGTTAAACATGTGGTCTTAGAAAGTATGGTACTTGAGATGTGAAATTGCATGTTGCGACTGTACGTGTTTTGCATGAAAGGCTGGAGGCAAAGTTGTGTAGATGTTTATAACGCATTACGGGGTGGGACGTTGAGTTTTCATTTCGCTACCGGATGGTAGTTCTCAATCGTAAAATTTCAGCTTCCTAGCTTTCATAGTTCTGGAATGGAGTTCCAGGATATAAATACTCGGGGAGCTTCCCAGGTGGGGTGATAGCCTCGCCAGGGTGTGTTTGCTTTATGGTGACGCTATAATGTTCAGTAGTGAAGGATTACTGGGAAAGATGTAGGTACCTGCAGGGAAAAAAAAAGCCATTGGGGCATGTCAGCATCTGCGAAACTGACCATTACAGTGATTTTAGTGACCATCGCGCAATGAAGGGGATCCAGAAGTGTGTGTATGATCGACTAGGGCGGGAACGAGAGGGATTAAAGAGATATCCCCCGACTGAAGGCGATTATTCTGTTTCAGTTTTGGACCTGTCTGGCTATGATTGGACGCCCGGAGAGGGAGGACGGGGCCAGCAGTGGCGGCAGCAGCAGCAACCCAGCGCAGACATTCTCAAAGCGAGGATTCCGAAGTCGCAACGGTCGCCTGTCCAACGTTGTGGTCATCGAAGTGAACAAGAATAATCTGTCGAAGACCTGGCCCTATCTGCGCAGCTGCATTTACAATGCTTCGTTCATTGCTATCGATCTGGTACGTTCTTACCCTTCACAGTACTGTGTTTTTGCGAAATTTTTGGCTTAGGTATGCTCCGGCTTCCGGCGGACCTAGGGGATGGGACCCTTTTCCTCGACAGCCAGAGATAGCAGT